ATTCCCAAAATAGCTTTAATATCTAAATATTGAAAGCTTTTTCCACCTTCATAACACTGTGCTTTATTTAATCCAGCTGGACTAGACTTTTTTACCACCTCAACCACATGATCTAGACAATCTACTCTGGTTTTTCTGTAGAGTTTTTTAATCAGTCCAAAACTACCATCACATTTAAATTTGGTATGTCCTGGAATCATCTTTTAGTTCATCATTTTTTCCAGAAACATAACTAAGACTAATGCAACTAAGTAATGTTCATTCAGCACAACCCTTAACAAAGCTTTCAGGGGTTAATTCATCTTTGGGTATAAAGTGTTTTTCTAAGGTCATTAAAGTTCCAGCAATTTCTGGGCTTTCACTTTCTTTAACATTTTCAAACTATGTTATGAATTCTTAATTTAAATTCTTGTTCTTTATCTGCTAATTGCTTTTTTAAATTTTCATTTTCTTCTAATAGTTGTTTATTTCTCTCTTGGAATTCATTTATTGTGTTTACCATGATTTTTTTTATTTATTTGCTCTTTTAATATACTTATACCCTTTTTATGAAGGCATATTAAGTATATAAATTATTTTAGTACTTTTCTACTTTAAAAGTGGAAAAAGCTAGTAATATTTGTCAAAAGATTAAAACTTATTAAATTTAATGACAGTGAGGGATAAATTAACAAGTGATGAAGTCATTAGAGGTAATTTTACCCTAAATATTTTATTCATTGCTGGTATAGATTGGTCTTGGGCAAGTAATATCTTTAAATCCATCTCTGACAAATGGGCGAATATTATGATAAAGATATTTTTGCCTTTTGTAATCCAAAGGAGGTGGTGTTAAAACTAAAATAGATAAAGATTTAATCTCTTCAAAAATATCTGCTTTCTTAGTTTTCAATAAATTGAATTCAGCAAAAGGTCCATTAGCAATTTCCTGAGCTTTGACCATACCAAGATTAGTTGCTTCAAAAAGAAAATGCTGATATTTCTGGATGCTTGGTAATTTCTTAAAATAAATTCCCAAAATAGACTTGATATCTAAATATTGAAAACTTTTTCCACCTTCATAACACTGTGCTTTATTTAATCCTGCTGGACTAGACTTTTTTACCACCTCAACCACATGATCTAGACAATCTACTCTGGTTTTTCTGTAGAGTTTTTTAATCAGTCCAAAACTACCATCACATTTGAATTTGGTATGTCCAGGAATCATGAAATTCAATTCAATACTTTCATAATAGCCACAAATTACCAAATATAAATAAAATCAAATAGTAGTATTATTTTTATTTTGCCCACCAGCATTATCACAAGTAATCTTTAAATGCTTTTCACCTTTATTCATTTTCTTAATTCCATCAAAAATCATACTAGGAGTGCCATTGGGTCCTTTTCCTATGATTTCATTTTCATTAAGAACATAATTAATTTGTTCTCTTACTGCCTCATCTTGAATACCAAATAAATGAACTTTACATGGACTAAGACAATAAATTTTACTTACTTGTTGATCTAAATGTGGCACATGAACATTTTGGGCTCAATCATAACTGTAATGAGCAGTAGCATCAATGCTACAGTACTGTGCTTTACCCTTGGAATAATGTTGATCAACTAGCTTTCTTTGTTTTTCTGCTAATTTAGTGTTTTTATTATGATAATTTCTTTCTAGTTTAGCCTTAGACAAATGTTCTTTAAATCTTTTAAGTAATTCTTTGGCTTCTTCCTCTTGGTGAGCATTATAATGTAAACCATCTCTCAAATGTTGACAAGTATCACACAAGTCAGTCCTGGGTTTCATAATTTGAATATCTGGTGTCAGTTGGTGTCACAATTTTCTGAAAGCATCATACTTCAAAGATTTCAAATTACTACCTTCTTCTAGACCAGCTAGAAAATCTCTGTGTACAGATTTATAACTCATTTCAGCTGGTAAGAATACAATTGATTGAGTTATTCTATTGATGCTTCTTCCTGGGCTTGGTAGTCCATGAACTTCTGCATAATTTTCTAGAAAATTCTTTACTACTTCAGCAACATTTTTATCAATCATCATTTTAGTTTTCCATTGAGGCATTCTTTTAATATTACCATGAGTTCTTGGTAGAAGACCATGGTTTATCAGATGATTTCTGATATTTTCAAAATAAGTCCTGCCAATTCCCAACATATTGAGATAAGTTTCTTGACAAAGAAGTGTATTGTGTGTGATCCCAATGGTAGAAAGTTCTTTTATTGGACCTGGTTTTCTTTTTAAGGCATCTGCTAGTGGTTATTGATCCACCATCCATTGCTTTAATTTGAACCATTAAAAATATGTCTTGCTTGAACTTTGGCATAATTTTCCAGAAAATTCTTTACTACTTCTGCAACATTTTTATCAATTATCATTTTAGTTTTCCATTGAGGCATCCTTTTAATATTGCCATGAATTCTTGGCAGAAGACCATTGTTTATCAGATGATTTCTAATATTTTCAAAATAAGTCCTGCCAATCCCTAACATATTGAGATAAGTTTCTTGACAAAGAAGTGTATTGTGGTCCCAATGGTAGAAAGTTCTTTTGTTAGACCTAGTTTTCTTTTTAAGGCGTCTACTAGTGCTTGTTAATCCACCATCCATGGTTTTAAGTTGAGCCATTAAAAATATGTCTTGTTCTGATTTAGAGAGAGCTTGAAAAGATTCCCTTAATTCTGCAAATTCTTCTTTGGGAATTCTTGAAGAGCAACCACATTTACAACCTTTTTCTAAAAAATCAATGGCTTTTTGATATTCATTAGAACCATTATATTTGTTATTACTTTTCATATACACTTATCCCTATATATATAATTTTATAATGTTATGTTCACTTTGTAGTTTTTTATAATTGTTTTAAAATTGAAAGGAAGTATATGAATGGAATTAAACTTAGGTAAATCAATGGAATGGTTTTAGGTAATGATTTAAAAGAGAAAAATTTGGTCAATTGGCTCCATAAAAAATAATTATGGCCTAGATTTAAATTGGCTTGTCATCATCAATAATCAAAATGGGAAAAGACAACTTAAAAAGCAAACAATAAATGAAATAATAACAAGTTAATAAAAAATTGACTACCTTTACCAATGAAATTTTCCACACATTGTTGATCATAAACAGAAAATGTTATTATTGCTGTAACAAATCATGTATAGTAATTCATATTTTGTTTACTTTTTATAGACATAAAATTTACTTAATTTATTTGAGATAATCAATTATTATTTATTATTATGTTCAATTATTATTTATATATTATTATGTATTTTTAACATAAAAAGAATTATCCTCTAAGAAATATAGGCAATTTGTATTTTTACAATAATTAAAGTATCTGTTCGCAAATACTTATAATTTATCTTGTTGAAAAGTAACTCTTACAATTGTAGAAAAATTATATTTTACAAAATAATCAATTTTTAAAACTTAAAAATTAATTGATATATAATGATTATTACATTAAGGTAAATAACTTTATTTGTAAAATGCTATCTACAAGAACAAAGAAGATGGGTCCCTAAATTAGCACAAAAGAATTTTAAATCATGCATAAACATGATAGCTTGATTGACACAGTGGTGCAGTATTGAAATTTTTTTATTGTATATTTTAAATACAATTAATGCTATTTAATCCTTTCCTTGTATGTGAATGCCTCCATCCATCAAATCTTCATGATGGACATGATTATTCTTCAATACATTTGATGTTATCATTGACATAACAAACAATTGCATCACCCAGGTAATAAATAATACCAAGGCCATGCATAAATGAAACTTTTAATAATGCATGTCTACCCAGATCTCTGGGGTTCACAAGAATAAATAAATAGGGAGGATCAAAAAAAAAGATTATCTTGAAACAAGTTGTAGATTCTCTTGACATTCCTCCAGAGTTGCAAGCTTGTTGGTCACAGAGCCATTTTTATCTAGAGGTAGGATTGTTGCAGACAACTTTTTGGCTAACATGGCAGCGGCCATCTCTGATCTGGGAAGATTAGTGAAAGCGTCATTGACAATGATGCAGTCTCAATAAACTCCAGACCATGCGGTCCCCCCTCAAAGTTCTGTTGCATCGTTGTATCTTTGAGGAATGCAGGTCAGATTAGCCTTGTGTACATGATACAAGGAAGATGAGAATGACTGTAAAGTGTTCAAGGTAGCATGTGTGCTTCAACACCTGCTATTTTCCAATAAACAAACATCGTATACTAGATACTTGAATTGTCTCTTTTTCAATGGTCTGCTGCCTTGACATCTTGTAATTATAATAATATAATATTATTATTAATATTATTGATTATGAAAAGTAAAGTATTATCAATGAAAATCTTGTAATTACTCAGCAAGATCTGCTCTGTGTTTTGATGCCAATTAAACCATTTAAAAGACAATAAATATATATCAACACAAATAAAAAAAGTACCTCTGGTTAGTTATTAACACATTACTTTAGGGGACCCAAACCAAACCAAACAACAACACTCACGTTTTGTCATCTTGGACTCTGTCAAAAAAAAAATTGTTTTTTGTTTTTCCAAAAAAAAAAAAAAAAAAACCAATAGGATAAATAATTAAGGGTAGGCTCCATATGTGATATTGTTACACATATGTTAATTAGTGCCGATCACGGGATTTGATATTTTTCAAGGAAGCACCAAACTTGTGACTATTAAATGTCTTTAACCAATTGGAAGAATTTATCTAAAAATCAATTCGCTTGATTTATTAAATATATGTTCTACATTATTCATATCATAGAATGAAAATTTTCCCCTTCTGGCAAAGTTTTATAGAGAATAAAATTTTTTTTTGGGTTGCTCATCCACTTTGCTTTTTGCTCATCTTTGCTTAACTTTTTATCTATTGCCTCATTTTACTTCAGATTTTTTTAATAAATTCTTTGAGCAATTACCTGTAACCTTACCTAAGATTAAAAGGCATGGTAAAAACATAACTTTATACAAATACAAAGAGAAAATGAAAGACATATTTTGTCATACTTATTTTTAGATCGCTAACATTTTTGTTTTAAAAATAGGAACATGTTGAAATCAATTGGATTCAGGAGCTTCTAGATGAGATACCAAATAAATAAAAATATTGTTGATCAGGAAGAACAACTTTTGTGAGTGAACAGAAAGATATTTAACTTTATTGCTAGGCAATCAATCAGTTCCAACTGATCCTACACAATCAAAATTATATCTTTTATTAAAAATATTAAGTATTGATCCTGATTGCAAAGGAAAGGGTTTTGGACGATTTTTATTTCTCTGTCAGGTATTTTTTATAATTTAATATAGAACCTAAAAGATGAAATATTATCCTCTCATTTAAATTATTTGATAAATTTAGTGATATATTTTATATAAATTATAAAGGAGGCTTTTCTATACCATGGCTACTAGGATTAACTTGTACTGATAATGTTCAATGGCTTAGATATTTTATTTCAACCACTGATCCTGATCTACTTCCAAAATCTTTTAAAGCTAATCAAAAATGAATTGAGATATTAAATCTTGGGACACAGACAGCTCATATAATCAATAAAGAACTTCAAAGGAATAATAGCAATTCCATGAATATTATAATGGAAGAAATTGAAGTCAGCTGAGAAGGATGAAACTCAGATAAAAAAACAATTCAGAGTCTTGGAATGAGATTACACCATACAGAAAAAAGATTAAAAAAATTGCAGTGAACATTTGAAAAAATTAACAAATTAAACAGTCAATTACAAGATGGATTTATTCATCCAGATATGTATTATATAAATGTAATTTATTTTTTATTGGCATTTAATGTTAATACAGTTGGCTCTGGATATAGTGAAGCATTTGTTTTTGGAAAAACTTCACTATATAGTACGATTCACTATATAAAAAGATCGCCAAATGTCAAGTGAAATTTTCATTAGTTAAAATTTATTATTTGAATAAAAAAATACATTAATGAAATAATTATGTGAACCATCTTTCTAGTGTAGTTTGTTTTTTAGAATTAATTTCATGTCTAGATATTTGATTTTTGATTACATTAATTGAATTAATGTGTTTTAACTCAAAGACAAGGTTTTGGGGTGGATTCTTAATATAAGAAGTCACTGTATCTAAAGATTTTAATACTTCTGTTGTGGTAATTGTCTGTGGAACAACATCGTCATCTTCTGTTTATGTCTGAATTATTGGTCTTACACAGCTGATTATTTCTTCATCAGTAATTTCGGTATCTTCACCATTATCGTTATCAATTGTAATAAACTCCACAGCATCTAATTTATCAGATGCTTCAGTTATATTAAACTGATTGATTAGATCTTGAAGTTCATTAATTTGTTGGTTATTGCTACTTGTATCTGTATCTACTTGCATGGTATCTTCTGAAGTCGGTAAAATACCTGTTTTCAACCAACAGTTTTTAATCGTTTCAGCAGTTACTTCTTTCCATGCATGTAAACAAAGTGTAATCGCATCTGATATTTTTAATTTTTGAAGAGGAGTACCAAGGTTTTGATGTATATCATAAGCATCAATCCTGTTTTTAACAAGTAATTTTCTATAATGAGCCTGAAAAGCATGTAAAATTAGAACAAATAATTATTGAAAGGTAAAAAAAAATTTATTGTTTTTGATAGTAATAGATACTTTAAACGAATTAATTATTCCTGAATCAGCTGGTTGTAAAAAAGCAGTTGTATTAGGAGGAAGGTGATGAAGTGTGATATTTGTTAAAGTAGTATTTTCTTCAAGAATATGTACTGGTGCATTATCAAATAGTAATAATATGTGTTTGCCTTTTTTCACCATCAGTTCATTCAACTTCTTTAAGTAAAGATTCCAAATGGAAACCTGCATCCAGGCTTTCTCATTCCAATAATAATCAACGGGAAGCTTTGACTTATCAATTCCTCTCATGTCCCTTGGTGTTTTATTCTTATTGATAAACAAGGGAGGAAGTTTTACGGTTCCAGTTGCATTTATAGTTAGTAAAAGGGTTACTCTTTTTTTTGATTTTTTAACACCACTAAGTGGACCAGTTGATAGTGTTTTTGAAGGTTCTAATTCCCAAAACAAGCCTAATAAATTAAATATTTGTTAGTTTTATATCAAGGTTACTGATAAATTGTATTTTATAAATGAATCCACCAGTTTTGTCACAATTATAAACATCTTCTAAAGGAAATTCTGAAATCAGTTCTTGTAATTTGTTTCGTTCTTGAGCAATGATTTCTTCGGGAGGTGCCGATCCTGCTTCACTGTGTAAATTATATTGATTTATATTATGCCTTTGTTTAAAGCTTGTAACCCATCCGTCTGAACCTTTAAAATCGTCAATTCCAAGCAATTTGGCATATCTTTTGCTTTTTTCAACAATAATATCACCTGTAATTACTTTTTTAGCCAAAAGTGCTTGGTTAATCCATAAAATCAATGCACTTTCAATTTCAGGATATTTAGGTGATTTAGTCTTTTGTTTATTAACATCTGATGAACCCACTGCTAACCATTTTTCTTTATCTTTTACAATATTACAAACTGTACTTTCGGCAATTCCACCAAATTTGTTACCAAGTTCTTTATATGTAAATGATGGGTTTTTTTCATGGAATTCACAAAGTTCTTTTTTTTTTCACCCCAAGTCAAAATTTTTCTTTTCATTTTCGATGGTTCAATTGATGACATTACTAGAAATACTGGAAAAACAATCTTTTATTGTTATAATGAGAAAGTTCCTTTATTTATATAAAGATTTAAAGTATTACGATTTATTTCTAAGAAATCATTTATGATGTAATTAAGTATTTACGTAATTTTTTACATGATGGTAATTTTAAATCATTATTGCGTAGGTAATTTTTAGACTGTAAAGATTGTATGAATAGTTTTTATTTAGTTGATTTTTTACATGATGATTTTTTGAATCATAAATATTGTGCGAAATTTCATTATTATTATTATGTGTAATGTTTAATCATTCATTTAATATTAATACTAATACTAATTATTATTCACTATTTCCTTTAAAAGGAATGATTGACATAATTTAATAATTTCTTCATTATATGGAGATCTATTTTACTATTGATGGATCAAGACAAACTTCATTATATACTTATATAGAGAGTTTATATTAAAATTCATTATATCAAGAGCAATTTGTATATAATGAAATTGGAATTTTTCTAACT